TGGTAGTTGTAGTCAAATGACGCCATCATGCAAATTGCCTATTACAGAGGTGTCAAACTCTGCAAAGCGATAGATAACAGCTGAAACTATACAGAGCTCTGACCTATAACAGTCTAATGGTTCTACTCTACTTTTAAAAAAGTCATCCTGATAACATGACATTAAGTGCCCTTCAGAAACAAGTGAAGAGCAAAATAAAAGGTCGAGAGGCTGGAATTCATAAGAGAACGGTACCTAAATGTAGAAATGTCACGAGCTGTAGGAGTCAGTGTAGGCCTGTCACCTAAATCAAACACATTTTGTTTTTTCTTGCATCTGACGTCACGTGGCTTAAAGCAACCAATCGGCAAAAATTGTTTGCCAGGCAAACGGTTGGAAGAGCATAAACAATGGTGTGACTACAGGCGGATTTTCTCGCTTTGCGCTTGTTCTCGCACTTCGTGTGTGCTTGTGTATCGCGCTAGAGCTGGGTAATCCGCCTGTTGTGTGGGCAAATCTCCAATAAGTTGTTACTAAGGCAATAAAAATTATTGCAGTGAATGTATGTGTAAGTTCTGGACGTGGGTCTCTGTTGTACCATAATTTGGGTTAATCTAAGATAGCTTAAGATGCCTCCTTTACAAAAGAGTGCCATGAAAGCTGCACAACATATTTTAGTTGTTTCTACAGTAATGGGTTTAATCATAAATGATTTGTCTGACTGTTAAACTTGAAACAATGTAGTGTGAATGGTTTACATTGAAATTTCTTGACTTGCTGGTTATGTTTCCTAAACCTGTTACCCACAGCAGATGTTGTATAATAATAATTTCCTTTGTTGTCCCAAATGCAGCACTTATTCAAGATAGGTGTTTGTTCGGGGGCTAGCTTGTTTGAGTAAAATTAAAATGGTAGCCATTCTTAGGGCAGTGACAAAACAAGTGACACAAACAATGTGGACCTGGTTTGCAATTTCTAAATTATACTTCTTCATGTCTTGCAGTTCTTTTACATATTGGAACTGAAACAAATGATCACAATAACAAATTTCCTTTGCACAATAATTATTATTGTGCAAAGGAAGCAAGTAGTGTTGAGCATGTTTTGTCTCTTGTATGATGCAGGGCTGTCATTGAGGGCCAAAACCTGTAACACCTGTTATGGCTGAGTATGTTTGATGGGCCCTTGATGTTACAGGTGAACTTATCCTTGGTTGATACATTTCACCCACAATAACAAGGTTGTTACGGATGTGAAGGTCATGGAAAATGGTGACTTAAGGGCTCAAAACTGAGGGTCTCCAAGGGGAGGGGTTAACATTCACTTTCCCTTGATCCCTTGAAAATTTCACTTTTTCTCCCTTGTTCCCTCAAATTAATCCAAAAAATATCCTTTGCCCATTGAATTAAATAATCCTGTTCCTTGTTCCCCCAAATCCCTGGGAGGTGCTCAAAACTTTATGACAACACTATGATGCACTTGAAGTATCAGTCAAAGACTGGTTACATCTAAAACTCAGCTGTCCTGTGATCAATATTCTAAATTGAACAAAGCCCCAAGCTGGTAAAGTGTAGAAAATCCCCGAAATACTAGAATTGTTATCACTTCTTTCTTGAACTTCATGGTAGACACGTGGGAAGGTGACATCGAACAATCTACTTCACACCATACATTATGCAGCTTACTGCATACAGATATAATTATTCTTGCAGAAAAATGTTTCTTTGTTGAAAAATCTCCTTCATAGCCCTTACACTGCAGTCACCATAGATTAAAGTCCTGTTCCCATTCAAAGCTACACAAAAGCAAAAACCTCCCTGTCTGCCAGCAACTGAAAGAATTTAGCCTCCTACAGTCAGTTCAAGTCTAGTAGGGAAATGTGGAATTATTTAAGGTTGACGTTTTTGGTTTTTCAGTTTTTCATTGCTGAAATGATCCTTTTCTCTGTGCTAATATTTATTTTCCACAAGTTATAAACAAATATACAAAGGAAAATTTGTATGGGGTTATTACCAGAACAATATTTTAAAGGGGTGCCTGGATTTATTTGTCTTCATGGGGGATAGTTTCACATGGTTACTGACTAATCCTCTCTTTTTAGTAATCTTGGTTTGGGTATACAGTACCTTTAATTACAAGGAAAACCTTTTTTAGCGGAGTTCCGGCAGCCTGAAGGGCCCCCAAGTGGAGCCCCATACCCATGTATGGTTATCATGGCTAGTGGTATTGCTCATGGGCGCCTAAGCACGACGACAGCGACGACAGAGTCGTGCAAAATGGCAGCTGTACTCCAGCTTAAAGGTTGACAGAAACATACAGCCTTGATTTGTAGCCTCCTTCTTTGATATTGTACATCCATGTTATGGTTAATTGACACCCATCAAAACAAGGTATCCGCTAACCAGTATCACGTGGCCATAGCGCGGGCTCAAGTTTAGAGCTCACCGAGGTCACGCTTTTTTTAAAGTTGACCGCTGACCAAGTGCTGGTTTTTTATTGGATCACGGGCTCATGTCAGATTAACTTGTTGTAAACGGGACC